GAGTAGAGAGCCCAGATATGGACCCTCAACTCTACGGTTGTCAAATAATCTTCGACAAAACAGGAAAAAATATACAGTGGAAAAAAGACAGTCTCTTCAATAAATGGTGCTGGGAAAACTGGACAGCTATATGTACAAGAATGAAACTCGACCATTCTCTTACACAAAGATAAACTCAAAATGGATCAAAGACCTCAACGTGAAACAGGAATCCTAGAGGAGAACATAGGCAGTAACCTCTTCGATGTCAGCCACAGCAACTTCTTTCAAGATATGTCTCCAAAGGCAAAAGAAACAAAAGCAAAAATGAACTTTTGGGACTTCATCAAAATCAAAAGCTTCTGCACAGCAAAGGAAACAGTCACGAAAACAAAGAGGTGACCCACGGAACGGGAGGAGATATTTGCAAATGACAGTTCAGACAAAAGATTGATATCCAGGATCAATAAAGAATTCCTCAAACTCAACACACACAAAACAGATAATCATATCAAAAAGTGGGCAGAAGATATGAACAGACACTTCTCCAATGAAGACATACAAATGGCTATCAGACACATGAAAAAATGTTCATCATCACTAGCCATCAGGGAGATTCAAATTAAAACCACATTAAGATATCACCTTACACCAGTTAGAATGGCCAAAATTGGCAAGACAGGAAACAACATGGGTTGGAGGGGATGTGGAGAAAGGGGAACCCTCTTCCACTGTTGGTGGGAATGCAAGTTGGTGCAGCCACTTTGGAGAACAGTGTGGAGATTCCTCAAGAAATTAAAAATAGAGCTTCCCTATGACCCTGCCATTGCACTACTGGGTATTTACCCCAAAGATACAGATGGAGTGAAAAGAAGGGCCCTCTGTACCCCAATGTTTATAGCAGCAATGGCCACGGTCGCCAAACTGTGGAAAGAACCAAGATGACCTTCAACAGATGAATGGATAAGGAAAATGTGGTCCATATGCACTATGGAGTATTATGCCTCCATCAGAAAGGATGAATCCCCAACTTTTGTAGCAACACGGACGGGACTGGAAGAGATTATGCTGAGTGAAATAAGTCAAGCAGAGAGAGTCAAGTATCATATGGTATCACTTATTTGTGGAGCATAACAAATAACATGGAGGACAAAGGGAGTTTGAGAGGTGAAGGGAGTTGGGGGAAATTGGAAGGGGAGGTTTACCATGAGAGACTATGGACTCTGAAAAACAATCTGAGGGGTTTGAAGTGGCAGGGGGTGGGAGGTTGGGGGAACCACGCGGTGGGTATTAAATAGGGCATGGATTGCATGGAGCACTGGGTGTGGTGCAAAAACAAGGAATACTGTTATGCTGAAAATTAAAAAAAAAAAACACTATACCAGGGTGAAAACCATTAAGAATATGTCAGTGGGAAGGTCAATCAATAGGAAAACAGTATCTGTATAAGGATTCCATGAAGATGACATCGGTGATAGAATAGTTCTTTGCTCTATCAATCATTGAGGTGTTTAGGAGGTCCTGGTCTCTCTGAGGCATCTGGAAAGAAAAACTTTTATTTCTTTGGTCTTTTCTCTGACTAGGAATGGTGATCGACAGGCAAGGGGTGGGAAGAAATATTACCTTTGGAGAAAAGCCTGATCCTCTGCAGGGGAATTTCCATAACTTCCCTGTGGACACATAACTTAATCTCAATGTCTTCTCTGAGATCACTCCACTGATAAAGGTGGACAAGGACATGAAAACTTTCATACTGAAATTTACACCAGTGGTAGTCTGTTTGCAGAGATGGCCCCATATCACCATCCTTCTTCATAGCCATGTCTTTGGCAATGTGTGCAGCATCTTACAGCAGGTAGTGAAAGCTATTCCTGTACTTTGATCTGGTCTAGATTAGTATTTTTTTATTTGCTGTGGCCAGAAAAATATGATAGGAGTGACAGTTGACCTTAGAGCCTTGGTGCATTCCTCTGCTCTGTCTTGGAACATTGCCTCCAAAACGCCACTTAAGCCAGGTGGGCTGCCAGAGCAAGTGAGGACATGTGGAGCAGAACCCATTTGTCCAATTTAAGGCAACCCTGGGCCAACCATAGATAGCTAGCCAAGCCCCAATTATATCAGAATGCCCTGTGAAGATAATCAGAGCTCCCTCAGCTGAAACACAGCTGACTGAAGACTCTAGAGAAGATCAACAGATATTAGAACAACTCATCACCATAAAATTCCATTTGATCCTGAAAACATTAAAGCAGGCCATTTGCTTTCAGGATGACTTGCTATGCAGCAACATTCATGATCATCCATTATTCCAGTTTATTTTGTAAAACTTAGAAAGTGACTCTAATGAGAATCATCTTCAGATACCAAGAAGCGAAGGATTTGTGTTTTTGTGGAGAAAATATGGAGACCCAGAATCACATAACTAGTCAGGAATTTATGCTCTCTGTGTCTTGCAGAGATATCTTGATTTTAGCCCAATGTGACTCATTTTTGGTTTGACCTCCATGATTGGAAGTATGTAAATTTGTTTCTTTTAAATGCTCAGTGAGGAATTGGTGATAGCAGCAATAGGAAATTGGACACAGAGATTTCTCCAATAAAATTTTCTTTGAAGAAACTGAATTTAAACCTCTCAATTCATTCACTTGATTTCCTTGAGTAAGGGAATTTTGAGTTAAAACTCTATCTTAAGTAGAAGAAAAATCTAAAGTCAGTTGAGAGATATTCAGCCCTATCAGCTGGCATGGAGAAGATCTCCTTACATAAATGTCAGTGTGGTTGTTTCTTTGAGGACTCAGGGAATTAAGATAGGAAAAGTGATTCACTGTTAAAATTAAAGCCACCTGTTCTACTCAAAAATTCTTTGTCTATATTTCACCATTCCTAAAATATCTTGTGATGGCAAAAGTTCATTCTTTTCATTTCTTTGGGCTCCAAGTTTCTCTCAAGTTCTCTTTCAACACAATAGATAGGTATAATGAGTTATAGTGAGTGTTAGGAGTATTCTGCATGTGTATATATATGCACGTGAGTGTGTTTGTTTGAACAAAATATGTACACATACACATACATTTAAATACAAACAACCCTTATTCTTGAACATACTTTGGTGAAAAAAGTACTTCCATGCATTTCATCTTTTCTCTCAATACCCCTTAAAGTCATGTTTATGATTATGATTCCACATAGTGTTCCCACAAAAATGAGGGCTTGAGGGATTACACCTTAACAATTGTATAGCAAAACAGTTATAACTTATTGTGCACGTTCTTGATTTCCATGGAATAGGAATCATTGCATGTGTACTGGTGATTTTTCAATGATTCTTTTAATTCCTAAAGTTTTATAAGTTAAATATGTACTGTTTATCACATGTAATAATGCTCCAATGTATTAATTAAAATTTAAAATCCTAGGGTGCATTACTCAGGGTCAGATCTGGAGTATAGTTAGCTGAGTCACACATATCAGGGTGGGAGAGATCTCTTCCAACCCTGAAAAAGCAAAGGTTCATATAATAATGTTCATATTATATATATTATACATAATCATATATAATATATGATTATATATATTCACATTATATATATTCAATATAATTCATATAATTAAATTAAGACAATTCACATTTGATAAACTTGTTGGTTTTTTTTCCATATCTAGAACATTAGTTTATACATATAAAAAGGGTAAAATGACCTATAATGTTCAAAACTGAAGAGCACTACAGCCTCACACCTCATGGATAATCTTATAAACAAAGTAGAGATTTACACCTGACTAAGGACTCATGAGGAACCCTGGAGAGATAACAACTCCCTACCCTTCCATTCTCTTCAATAACAAAGACATTATATTATATCATTTCATTTTATGCTTTGTACACAGCAAAGTTCTGATACTCAAAATTAGCCTTCATGATTATTCTATTCTTCAAGTTTATTACATGTCACTGTATTAAAAAATAAGTCTATTGAGAACCCTTTGAGGTAACATGGAAAGGCTGGAAGGACATGTATGTTTGCACAAAACTTGTGACTCTGAATCACACCTGGACAGGATTCCAAACTTGCTGGTAAGTCATCCTGTGGTTATGAGGATCATATATAGTAGATGATACTGATGCTGTTGGTTCACTGTCCCTTTTGAAATTACATAGCAAAATTTCAAATAGTGGGAGATATTTTGTTTAGAGAAAATGGAAGGAATCATATTTGTATTTCACACTGGAAATTTTCAACCAGAAACCAGAAAATAGTTTAATATAACCAGAAACATGCCACCTGTCTTTCATTATAATGAATACACCTTACAAATGGACTCTGATATTCAATAATTCAATAGGTAGAAAGAAATATTTTGCATAACAATAAATGTATACTTTAATATTTTGCTTCATCATCCTTAAAGTCAAGTTTGACTCTAGACCATAAAATAAAGTGAAGTCTAGACTCTAGAATCTAGACCAATCTATTTTTTCTATATTTGTCTTGCCGTGTAGATTCCAATTGGAGACATGTTTTTTAATTATCATTTATTTTGCTAGTGACTATGGCAGACATGGTGGCAACAAGCTCTGTAACAACAGGATGCTAGTGTATAGAAAAATCCCCATGATCAGCTGTAACATCCAGTATGTCAAAAGTCTGCATTCTCAGGAACAGCAGTTAAGGTAGTGATATACAAAAGAATGATGATTACAAAAGGGAAGCACAGTCTCAGATTTTTCTCTGTTATAAACTTCTATAAATAGCTGTTGTGGTCAAGAGTACATTTTCCATAGGAGTAGCATTCAGTCAATCGCAAGAAAAAATATTCACTATGATGTATTTTATTTGCAAAGAAATTATTCTTAACAGATCCATGTAGTCATTTGAAATAATTGAAAATCTCCAAAAATTTCACATCCATGGTTAGGAAAAATATTGAGAAAGTAGGAAAATGAGAAAAAGCAAAAATTTTTTGGATATCAGAGATATCATAAAGCTAATAAAGTTTGGCTAAGGCATTGGGCCTTGCAATCATGGGCACTTCTTCAGCCCCAGGACAATTGTCCCTTTTAGAGCTGCCATCCCAGAGAATCTCATCAGAGCCTCCTTTATGTCTTTGTTCCTCAGGCTGTAGATGAAGGGGTTCAGCATGGGTGTGACCACAGTATACATCACTGAGGCTACTGTACTTGCATGGGAGCTCTGAGTAGCAGCAGAGCTAAGGTACACTCCTAGGCTTGTACCATAAAATAAGGAGACAACTGAGATGTGAGATGTACAGGTGGAAAATGCTTTATACTTGCCATGAGCTGATGATATTGCACATATGGAGGAAACAATCTTAGAGTAAGAGTAAAGGATCCAAAAAAGGGACCACCAGCCAGCAACATAGCTGCAATGTACATCACCATGTTATTGAGAAAGGTGTCAGAACAAGCAAGTTGGATCATCTGATTGAGTTCACAGAAAAAGTGGGGGATTTCCCCCTCTGTACAGAAGGACAGCTGCAACACCATGGAAGTGTGTAACAAGGAGTGCAAGACACTGATGATCCAGGACAGAAATAACAGCAGTCCACAGAGCAAGGGGTTCATGATGACCATGTAGTGCAGGGCGTGACAAATGGCCACAAAGCGGTCATAGGCCATCATACTCAAGAGGAGGACATCCAACACCACAAAGAGTGAGAAAAAGTACATCTGAGTAATGCAGCCTGCATAGGTGATTGCTTTGCTCTGAGTCTGAATGTTCCATAGCATCTTGGGGATGGTGGTGGAGGTGAAACAGATATCTACAAAGGACAAGTTGACCAGGAAGAAGTACATGGGTGTATGGAGGTGAGAGTCAGAACCAACAGCCAGGATAATGGGCAGGTTTCCAAACACAGTGGTCAAGTACATGGAGAGGAAAAGCCCAAATATGGGGCACTGCAGTTCTGGCTCATTGGAAAATCCCAGAAGAAGAAATGCTGAAATTTGTGTATAATTGACTGGCTCCATATGGTGGAGGTGACTCTAGCACAGGGGAACAGAACATGAATAATTTTGATGCAAATGGGTGTTGCTTACATTGTGGAAATGTTACAACATATATTTTCTAGTCAGAAACTAATTTCAGTATTCTGTGAATGGATCTAGACCTCTTGAAGGGATACCTGTTTCCTCTCTGATTAGAAGTTTCCATCTTGACATCAGATGTTCCCCAAAGATCAGGTATTGTATGGCTTGAATAAGAAATTATTTCAAGCATTTGGGGAATATATAGTGTCAGTCGTGTTTCCAGTATTTCCTAGTCATAAAGTAGAGGGTGCTGAAAAACAAAAGTCCCTATAATTCATTGATGTTGATAGGATAGATGCAGATATAAATATTAAATAATCCTGGGAGGGGGGCTAGATGCTATGAAGAACACAGAAGCAGTTTAAGGAGAGAGTGGATGGGTGTTAGGATGGGTGTTCAGTCAAGACTGGCTAAGAAGGTGACATTTGAACAGAGACCTCATAGAAGAGAGGGTGGATGATTGGAGGTCTTCCTGGAAGAGGAAATATCTGGTGCAAAGTCCCTGAGGAAGTGCTTCTGTCAAAAAATCAAGGGTCAGATGGGAGCCGTTGTACGGGGGGGTGGGGGGAAAAGACAAAAGGCAGAGTGATGAGAAGTGGTGGCAGTGAATTTCAAAGAATCATGTGGCCTCCTAGATGCTTAAATTTCAAGACACAGGGACTTCCTCATTCACACTATGTACCTCTTGGACTTCATGAATCTGGTTGCAGTAGCATCTTGTCAATTAAACACATCCCTCCTTAGTATCATCTGCTGATCAAATTTTGCATGTGTATTAAAAGGGTCACCTTGAAGTAGAGGAACCCATGTATCCCATTCTGAGGACCATTCTTACTCATCAGGGTGCCCCCACATGTGTGCACGTACACACACACACACACACACACACACTGTCACACACACACGCTATCACATACACACAACTGCATACCATATCCTTCCAAAGGATATTACTTCTATGTCCTTCTCTCCTCCCCCACCCTGCCCCAACACCCCATTTAGGATATGAACACATACACATCAAATTACCTTTCCCATAAGGAATGTAGAAATAGTACTCAGAAATTCCTATTCATAGTTTCCCAGGAACAACTCATCTTGCGGCACAACTTTTGAATGGCTACTTGCTGACCTATTTATAAAGGAACAAAAAACTTGTGTTCAATAAACAGACTAAAAGAGAGTGACAGGAAGACAGGGACATAAATAAATTAATATAAAGGGAATGAAAAATAAAATGAGACAAAATGGGGAGGGAGTAAAAATATAAGAGATGGAAATGAGGGGGGAGCAAACAATAAGAGACTGTTAATTTTAGGACACAAACTGAGGGTTGCAGGAGGGCAGGTGGATGGTGGGGTGGGATAAAAGGGTGATGGGTCTTAAGGAAGGTCCTTGATATAATGATCACTGCATGTTACATGCAATTGATGACATCACTAAATTCTACAACTAATTATATAATATGTGTTAATTAAAATGAATTTAAATACAAATAGATTAATGTAAATGATATTAAAAATAAAATGATATAATAAGCTCAGTCATCCTAAGAGAATGTGAGGAAGGAAATCTTCTCTGGTGTTGGTAGCATCCAATCCTAGTTTTATCCCATGTATACCCAGCAAGTAAATTCAATTAAGGTAATTTACATTTGGTAAATTATTTTTTTCATAAACTGTAAGATTAACCTACATATTATTAGAGAGGGCACGGACTGCATGGAGCACTGGGTGTGGTACAGAAACAATAAACACCACTAACCTAATACCCACCACCTGGTTCCCCCAACCTCCCACCCCCCCACCTCTTCAAACCCTTCAGATTGTTTTTCAGAGTCCATAGTCTCTCATGGTTCACCTCCTCTTCCAATTTCCCCCAACTCCCTTCTCCTTACTCCCCATGTCCTCCATGCTATTTGTTGCAGAAGGTCCATCCTCTGTATTTTTCTTCTGTTGGGCATTCCTCCTCCTATTCATTTTGGTGAGAGATGACTGAACAGATATAGCTTGTTGTATCGACCATGGTGCAGTCTGGGTGCACCCTGGAACACTTCTGAGCAATCAGGTTTCCCCACCCAAATGAGAGAAAAAAGAAAAGAAAAAGAAAAAGAGAGAGAGAGAGAGACAGGAAAGAAAGGGATGATGAAAGAGAAGGTTCAGCCCAAATGGGCCTCAAGGTAAGATTTATGAGGTATACAAACAAAAACAGACAAACAAAAAGACTGATAAAAGTATCTAACAAGAGAAAAAAATATATATATGCAAATAAAGGAAGAACCTTGTCGAAAAGAACCCCAAGTGTAAGATTTATATACTATCAGGACAGACACAAAAACACAGAAACACTGGTGGAAGAAAAAGATGGGAGAGTGGTTATAAATTCTCAGTGTGAGTGAGGAAGTTTGTTTTGATTCTTGCAGGATGTATCTTGATATCTTTGTCAAAGGACTCAAGTTTCCTAGGCTAAAGGGGGATTAAAAATTGGTTTACCTATAGGGGTAGTATTGACTGGGGAAAGGGGATTACTTTGAAGTTTAACTCTATATGAATATTAGAAAATAAAAATAAAAAAGGAATAAACTAGAATAAACTAACTAAAATTTAAAAATATACAACAAATAGAAATGCAAAAGAAAAACACAGGTGTATGTATCAAAAAGTTGAAGTTAGGAGGTTATTATGGAATTTGATGTACTGGACAGCTCACTGTGGTGGTAAATAGGTTTAAAAATTATCTATATAAAAAAAATGAGCCAGAATAGTGGGAACAAATTAAAAATAAAAATTGTCCTATGAAGTAGTGGTGGTGGTTCTCTTGTAGTCCTTTTTTTTTTTTTTTTCTTTCCTGGTTGGTTTTCTGGGGGCGGGGCCTGCCACGTGGGTTTTCAGTCAATGATGTTCCCTGAGTTAAGTCCTCCAGTCCCTTTCAAGGGGGTGGGCTCTGAGGAAACCGGTTTTTTCAGGCTCTTGTTCTCTGGAGGTTTTTATGTTTGTTCACCTTTTTTTTTTTCCTCTCGCCTTGACTGCTTTTAATGGTTTTTGTAGGTTTAGAGGAAAGCAAACTGCACCCTGACCTCCCTCTCAGAAAGAAGCCTCAGTCTGTTCTTCTGTGGGTGTTGCAGAGCCCATATAAATCCCCCCTTGGCCGCTGGCTGAGCAGGTTCCGAGTCATGGTCCCTGGGGACGCAGGATCTTCTGCTTGTACCCAAAACCAAAGCAGTGGCAGCTGTTTGGGCAGCTCCAGACCACCAGAGAGGTTCCAAGCAGCGACCGCACACTGAGATTTCCCGCTGGCCCGGGCTGGGAGTGCCTGGTCTTTCTGGGTCTAAGAGCGCCCAGCTTGCACACACCTCTGTCAGGGGAGGTTGTGGGTCTCGTGCGCATCTCAGACTCTGAGAACGGGGCGCATGTCCGAAAGCACCAGGCTAGGCCTTCGCGCACCTCTTTGAGAGGAGAGTTTGGGGCGCACGTCTTAGGCTCTGAAACAATGTCGTGTGTCAAAAAGAGCCAGCTGGGCCTTTGTACCTCTCTCAGGCGAGGATGAGGGGCGCGCGCATCTCAGGCTCTGTAGCAGGGCTCGCGCATTCTGCCCTCCAATGTGGCTCCCATCCCCTCACAGTGGCCTGAACCCAGGCAATCTTGGGCGCGCTGGTGGCTCAGGGACCAAGACCTGGTTTCTCCACTGCACTCTCTCTGGCTCAGCGCCAGGGGAGGCTGTCCTGGAACCAGGGACTTAAGCCCCTGTCCCTAGCCACCCAGATTCCCACAGTTTCCCCTGCGGGATCTTTTGCTCTTTGGGAGTGCTTTCAATCAGTCTCCAAGTTAATGCTGGTCCCCAGACGCAGGGCACTCTCGCTCGTATTTTGGGTATTACTTTCCAACCGGTCACCTCTGGTGGCTCCCTCCCCCTTTTGTTTGTCTTCCAATATCAGTCCACCTTTCCCACTCCTCTTTATCTGCCCACTGGCGTCTTCTGCCCCTGTAGAGATCCAGATGTGTGTAATTCTGATCTCAGGCTGATTTCATGGGTGATCGGAATTCTTTGGTAGGTAATCAGCTCACTTTAGGGTACAGGTTGAAAAGGCGCCTCCTCCTACTTCCCAGCCATCTTGTCCCCCCTCCGGATTACATGTTTTGTTGTTGTTGTTGTTGTTGAGTTTTAGAAGTTCTTTATGTACTTTAGATATTAACCCCTTATCAGATATATCATTTACAAATATCTTCTCCCATTAGTAGGTTGTCATTTTGGGTTTTTGATTGTTTCCTTAACAGTGGTAAATTTTTACTGGTAGAGTGGCATACATGAAGAAGGCCTGAAAGAGCCACTCTATTTCCTATACCTTTCCCCATCTGGTGCCATCCCTACCCTGGGGCAGCATGGCTCAAAAGTGAAATATTCAAGAGGGCCCCATAAACTTGAGCATGCCCAAGCTTGACTCATGAATCCATCATGTGGCCACTAAGGTCAGACCTGAGGAGAACATAAGGTTTCTTGATAGAGAAGGTCTAAAATCAATTATCCCTGACTGAAACAGTGAACTACAGTCTTAATATTCAAACAGTGGTCCATAGACCAAGACTGATGCCATCAGTATCAACTGGGAAACAGTTGTAATTACAAGATCTCTGAACCTCACCCACAACCTTCCAAATTAGATCTCAATTTGGAGAGGATCCTCTTCAAACACATGTTAATGTTGGAGAAGCTCTGGTCTAGAAAATACTTCCTCAACCTCTCTACTGTTGATATCTGTGCTAGATAATTCTTTGTATTGGGGACCATACAGAGCATTGTAGGATATGGGGCAGCATTCTGGGTCTCAACCCACTAGATGCTAGTAGGACATCCCTAGTTATAACAACCAAAGATTTCTCAATAGTTGTCAAGGGTTGTCTTTAGAGGGGAAAAAAAGCCCTGTTTGAGAAACATTGACCTAG